CCGTTATAGACAGAAATTTACACCTACGTTTTATTTTACCCTTGGTCTGTAACATAGGAAAATATCTAAGCTATTGCAGTTTCCTAATACTGTAGCTCACTGCAATACATATTTTATTTTTTGTGATAATCTCACCTTTGAAGTTAGAATATTTTTGATTGAGAGGTCTGTTCTCAACCACAGAAGTGTGACATTGCAACGGTGGGACTCCAGTCAGAAACGAGCAAAGAAGAGCATCATTTCCTGCAGAAACTGAGACAGGAAGAAGCCACTCAGTACAACGTGAGAAATGATGAGGCGATGTTCTACCATAGGACTGTAATACAGAGAGCCCTCTTTTTTTGTGGTCTATAAAAGGTCAGCATTTGAAAGTCTGCAGTTGTACAAATAACAGTGGTCTGTAATAAACACTCAATAATAATAACAATAATATATGACCATTTAATTGTATGTCTCAAAAACATTTTATTCGTATCTCTTTTTATGTTATAAAAACAAAAATCTTTACTTTAAAATCTAAACTCTATACTGCTAATGCTCATTGCACACATTGCATTGTTGCATGTCCAGAATCCACAATATCATTACAAAAAAATTCTCAAACAATTCTTATAAAGTTTTATGTTCTAAATGTCTCAAATTCTATGGGATGCATTTATACTGCACACATGCATATAGTAGATCAGATAAGGACAGATAAACTGTAACTCAACAGAATTTCATTCATAAACATGCAAATCTACATGTTAGGGGAAAAAAACATACATATATATATATATATATATATATATACACACTTCACCAGTCTGGGTAATTTTCTTTTATTTTAATTACATAGAAATGTTTGTCTGTTGAGAAGGATGTGTTTGTGGTTTTGATACAGAAAGGGGCTTCAAAACAGAAGCAAGAGGTCAGTCCTGTGGTTGGAAAATTAGCAAACCACAATGTGAGCAAGCAATGCATGCACAAAGGTACACACACAAGTGCAAACAAACATCTCATGATCTCTTTCATCCTTTTACCTTTATTTCAATAATAATTGCAACAAATATTTAACTAATCAAAAATAACTGTTAATACACTTTTTCTTTTAGAAACTCTTTTAAGGGATTGTTTCTTTTAGAATTTTTTTATGCAATTTAAAAAAAATTTTTTTTAAATGTTTGTGCTGCCTTACATTTTTACATTTACTCAACTTGTGATGTACTGTATTAAAAGTACTGTCTTTAAAAGTCAAGTATATCAATGCTGACTGCATTAAAATATGATTATATCAACTATTTTATACAGTTAACTCAGGTGAATGTTATAACTGGTCCGCTGAAGTTCACATCAGCACTTCTTTCTCTGTACTGAGCTGCTTCTCTCTGTCACTCCTCTACAGGAAGTGATGCTGCTAACAATCTGTCTTCTGGCTGGAGCGCCAGTTTCTGTCACATCCTCTGCTTATGCATTTCTTGTGCAAAAGCTTGCAGTTTGTGATAAAACTAACATTTTACAAACAGATAAGATAATCTGTCTCATAATTATCAGATATATGACTAACTGAGCTGTTCTAGGGGCTAATGATTTGCGACCCTGGGGCACAAAACCAGTCTTAAGTCGCTGGGGTATGTTTGTAGCAATAGTCAAAAATACATTGTATGGGTCAAAATTATTGATTTTTCTTTTATGCCAAAAATAATTAGGATATTAAATAAAGATCATGTTCCATGAAGATATTTTGTAAATTTCCTACTGTAAATATATCAAAACTTAATTTTTGTGTAGTAATATGCATTGCTAAGAACTTAATTTGGAGAGCTTTAAAGGCGATTTTCTCGATATTTAGATTTTTTTTTTTGCACCTTCAGATTCCAGATTTTCATAGTCATAGATTTTAATAGTTGTATCTTGGCCAAATATTGTCCTATCATAACAAACCATACACCAATGGAAAGCTTATTTATCCGGCTTTCATGTGATGTATAAATCTCAATTTTGAAAAAATTGACACATAAGACTGGTTTTGTGGTCCATGGTCACATTTTACATGTAGGTGCTTTTGAGGTTTAAAAAACATTAAACGATTAATCTTGCATGTGCAACTGAGTCAAATAAGTATGGCAAACAAGATAAAGGTATCAGTTTGACATCATAGCCATGTGCTTTTTGAAAATAAACCAATCATCTAAGTAAAGGGAAAATTCCCCATGTGGTACATAACAATACTAAGATTAATAAAAAAACTGATTACGAATTGTTTACTAATTAAGAGGATTTAATGTGCATTGCAGGACACAATGTGTAAATTAACCAAATCTGCTGGGTAAAAATGCAAATTGGCATTTGAATATTATAGCATTTAAAGACATTGTGGTACACTGTGGTGCAAATTTTATTTTTTGGGTGAACTATTCCTTTACAAATGAAAGTATAAAATGTGAAATGTAACAAATGCAATGTGTCTCTGTCCGTGGTGCTGAATGGTGCTTCTTATGATGAGGTGTGTTGCAGCAGAACACCTCCACCTGCCTTTGATTAGAGTAATAAATTATGTCCTGATTTGTAAATGATCAGTCTTTTTTAAATATACAATAGTATTTGTGAGAGTGTGAAATTGTCACACTACACTGTAGGCCTTTAATTTAATGCCATCAGCCTAAAACATGAGGTCAAACATCACTCAAGTTGTAGTTTAGTCAGCCAATCTCACACTTTAATAAATCGTTCAATGGAAAGTTTTAGCTGCAGATGTGCAA